CGGCGCCGCTCCCCCGGGCTGGCCGTTAGCGCCCCAGGCTCTGCGGCAGACTTGGTCGCGTTAAGCCAGGGAGCGACTCAGAGAAGCAGGCAGCACCTTGGCCGGGGCAGCGCGGGAGGAGCTGTAAACGAGCGCTAGCACCGGGCTGCCCGGGAAGCCTCACGCTCTGCTAGAGCTGCTCTAAATTCGGTGCAGCGAGCACGGAAGCAGCGAGCTCAGAGCGGCTCAGCGAGCGCGGGCTGCGCGCCTGGCCCTCCCCTCCAGGAAAGAGCTGCTCGCTAAAACAGGTCACCTGGCGCTTGAGGCGGCTCAGCCAAGGCTCACTTTCCCCTCCAGGAGCGATTCGGCAGGCAGCAGCGAGGAGAGCAGGGAGAAGGCTCTGGAGAGCAAAGGGGACAACCGGCCGCTCAGCATCGCCGCCGAGGATCCGCTCCTGAAAAACAAGGACTATTACAAAAGCAAGCAGAAAGGCGGAGCCGACAGCACCACCCGCAAAGAGTTTGCAACTTAAAAAAGCCAAATGCCGTGAGAGAGAGAGTCCAATTGCTTTGAGCTCATTATAGGTAAACGTTAGCTAATTAAAGTGTATTTAATGAGGAGCTTCTCAAGCATGCATACGGTGACATTCAGGTTGTTTGAAAGACATCCATTCACTGGGATGAAAAGAACCAGAGTTTTAAAAACTTAGTTTTCGACAAAATAGTCTAGAGTTACAGGCTCGTGCTTGTGCGTTGAGTTCAAACGTGGCCTTCGACACCCCAGCTGCGGTCAGAGGCCCCAGACCTCCCGCCAGCGCCAGAGCCCAGGATTCACCCCGCCGAGCTCCCGCTCTGGGGAGGAGCGGGGAGCTGCTGGGAACAGCCCCAGGCCTCCCCCTTTCTTTTCATCATGTCCTGGGATTTCTCTTACCTGTGCTACGCTGTCTGCTGCCTGCCGCAGAGTTCTGGGTGTCTATCAAAAATACCTGGCTTACATTTAGGTTTCGTCTTTGTATTAGCGATTGTTATGGTTTCTGCGAAACACATTCAAATGCATGGATTTAACCCTCCGTGTTCTTTCCCTGGCTTTAATGGAGAATCCAGCAGCTCAGTTTAACGAGCACTGCGTCATGTTTATCTGAAGCGGGAAATTGCATTGTGCAGCTCAAAAATTAGGGCGTTGGGAAACATCCTCCTCCCTGAGGAGAGAGGTAAAACCACCTCGACACGTAAGCGTGACCAGAGTGCTGTTTTCTTGCTGAACGCAGGAGAGCGTTAAGCGAATCGGTTGTACATAGCAGTTTGAAAACCAGTGCCGCTTCTTGCTGCTTAGCGCCAGACGTGGGCAGACGCAGCTACCGCAAGCTGGGAATCTGGCAGCAAGCGGTGACGAGCGCGCACATGCAGGAACTCCCATCGGACGTCCTAGAGGGTGGTGGTTGAGGAACAGGACACTTTACAATCAGCACATGAATGCAGACTATTTTGATCAAGGATACCTTTATTTAAGAAATGAAAAGTATGCTCAACATCTGCAAAAGAAAAGCTTAGACATATTAAGTCCTTCCTCATGTACAAAGAAGTACTAATACTTGGTGTCCAGCAGGTGGTTCTCACACCTGACCCCAAGCAGATGCAGAGTCATTGTGGTAAAACACTTGTCTTTTTCAACACAAAGTTTCCTATCTCAGATGTTGAGCTAACGGCCTCCTGCTCCAATAGGGATGCCTGAGCGCTTGCTCCAAAAACGAGAAGCTGCTTCCCTATCGGATTGCAAATCTAAAGCTTATTTACCAAATGAGAAAGGGCTAGATTAGAAGCGGCTCACAACAGTCAGGTAGTGCAGTGGGTGGGCAAGTACGCATTTGCATATAAAAGCTCTACCCCGATTGTCTAAGAACTCTTATTTTGTGCCATGAGCAAAGACAAAAACCAGAGAATCAGAATACAGCTAACGTTCTGAAGTGTAACATGTATCAAAACCCTGCTTTAGGAATTACTTTGTTTCTCTGAAAAAATAATTTACTTAATCACTTACTATCTCATGTATTAACAACGAGATAAAACGGCATGATTTAGTCCCTCTTTTGTCTGCAATGCAGGACAAGAGAAAACAGGCCTGTCAGTTCTGGGCGTTCCAGCTGCTCTTAAAACCCACACTAAGTTCGTAAACTCAGGGCAGGGGGAATTAGATGCGTGCTAAAGCCAGGACTTCCCATCAGGGTTGCAGTGTGTCTTCTGAACTGCTAACAGGGAGCAGAATCAAAAACTTAAGTACAGTAACAGAAAGAGGTTCTCTATTCCTTTTAATAGTTATTCTAGTTAAAAAAAATTGTGGGCTGCTGCAGCACAGAAGCGTAGTGTTTAACTAGTTGATTTAGATTTTCAGTAAAAATTCAGATACCTTCCTCTTGTCTGGTGAGCTCCTTTCTCCTAACTAAGATTCCACATACTCAAGTCACGGGACACACACAGAGGACTGTTTGTGGAACATAACTGCTAGCCAGCCTGATTGAGGGCAAAGGTCCAAAAAGCACCAAGTGAGCCTTGAAGTTTTGCTACAGATGAGGAAGTTTTTTCCGATTTTGTTGTTTCAACACATCCTGCCTTGGACAAACCCTACTGCCATACAAGCGCTAAGCTGGGTAAAAGTTAGTGTTAACACGAAGAGCCGCTTCTTTGGGGTGCTGCCAACGTGTCGGAGCAGAGTGGCGCTCTCTGCAAGCACTGCTCTTCTGCCCAGCGTGCTACAGCTACTGCTCTTCTCATCAACACAGCGAGCCAAGTTTTGGTTTACGGAAAAGAGAATAAAAGAAAGCACATCTTTGAGAAAGTGTTCCCACCAGGACAGCATGCACCCTGACAGCTAGCAGACGTATTCCACAGCACCTGAGGTTCAGTAGGCACGATTTGGCACCGCCCATGATTTAGCCTGAAAGCCCTCCTCCTCATAACTGGGAGCATCCTATCTCTACGCTGACACCAATTATTTATTGGAAGCCAAAAGAGAACCACCGGCATTCAGCTTCATGCTTTAGAAACAGCAGTCATTACTTAAAAAATATACATGATAGTCAAAATACCTATGCACAGACAGCTATCCTAAGCATGTGACACGATGCATCTTCCAAAGCACAAGTTCCAGGATCGTGGATCTGTATGACTATCAAACTGCAGCAGAGTATACTTTCTTAAATACGCCTTCAGACTAAGTAAAGAAAAAGACTTCAGTAGGTAAGTGCTGAACATCTAACAGGAGTTTAAGTTCAGAAGCCAGGCACCCTGCTTTACACCGCAGCACCTGCCTTATGGCCAGAAGGAAACAAAGGCCAGAAGGGGAGAGAGGGTGAAGAACCCCGCTGAGGGAGCCGGCTCGTCAGCCGGCCGAGAACCTCACCAGCTTTCTTCTGGCAGCTGTCTGCGAGGGGCACGCGAACGTAACTGACTGCGGGGAACGGAGATCAGTCTTCCCGAGGAGACATCTCCAGGAGCACCACGGGCAACGTGACGTTAGCTTACAGCTTGTAAAATAAGACTACCGTTGCATCAACACGTCTCGTTGCAATCAAATATACGTTTGGATTCACACATGGTGTCCCACTTAAATGACAGGACAAAGCTAGTTTCTTAGTGAACTAATTCCCTAATACATTTTCCACTACTTGGGAGACAAATCGTGCAGCTGGTGACACGTTTCAGTTGACTACAAAGAACAATTTGAGACTAAAAAATAATTTCCGCTGTTAACTTGTGTCAAATCCAAGTGATAATTGCTTTCGTTTCAAAGTACATTTATGCAAGTTCACAGGAGATACATTGTAAGACGTACAAAAAATATTTTTAACGGAGTTAAAAACTACTTTGTCCGAGACGTCTGAGGTATGTTGGCTATAAGAGCAAAAATTACAGTTTCCTTGGAGAAGTATATCGGAGGCACCTCTATTGCAAAGAAAAGTCTGAACACGAGCTTACAAATAACTACGCAGAGAAATCAACGCTATCCGGTTGTTATATTTTCATATTCTTTTCTTCCAAGCTAAAAACATATTCAGTAGAAGACAAAGTTATCAGAGAATGTTGTAAGCTGATATTCAATGCAGAAAGTACTCTGTAATACAAAGCGTAACCCGGAGAAGAAAGGATTTCACATAGCTTAATAAGCAAGTAGAGAATTCAGAATTTGCCCCTAGCTCTCTGGCTATGCAGTTCCACAGGTTATTGAAAGTCAGGGTCGTACTTCAATTTAATACTGAAGTGTACTGAAAACCCACCGGGAATTATAAAATTAAGAATTCTAATCTCGACGCTGTTACCACCACCTCAAGAGATCTCCAATAACAACCAGACAGAAGTTGGCAATTTTTTCTTTCCTTTTTTTCTTTAAAAAATAAACCGAAAAAAAAAAATCCATCAGTGCCCTTGGTCCTGAGCTGTATTACAGTTCCTTCATTAAGGAATACTGCAAGCCCAAAGCACGTACTGACGAGCAGCTAATTTCCATTCCAGCAAGGAAGAATTATGTAAAACCCAAGAAAACAGTGAACCTCTTTGGTATATAATAACAGAAGAAGTTATACCACAAAACTTGAATAGCAACCATTTCCAAAATGGTAATATTTAAAATAGAGTTAGCAGGCCAAACTTTTCTTCTTCAGAGAACTTCCCTAGCAGCATGTCCTCTTCACACGAACAGTCCCAGGTTTAATGCAAAACTAGGCAAGGATCTTAAGTGCTAAAGCTCTTTGCAAGCTTGACAGCTACGGGTCTTGTCCTGACTTTCCAAGATCTGGAAAACAAAAGCCAAACCAAAAATCTTGGGATCTCTGCAAGGCAGAGACTTGACTAGTAAAGACACTAAAGACACCTGACAGGATAGAAAGCAGCGTGATTTGGAAGCAAGTCCAACGAGAATACTGTCTGTAGGGACAGAACAGACTTGGCAAGGGGATTCGGGGAACTAGCAACTGAAACCGACTCTTGGGTTCGTGGCAACAACTGTGGAATACAAGACTGCTTACGCTTTTGCGATGTTTAATAGAGATGCTTGCAATTCAGAAGCATCGCGAGTACTTAAAAGGCTCCCTATTAACACAGCGACTGGGGGAAACCGGTTTGTGCCACCTTGCCAGCTTTCTGGCAAGCGTATATCCAAAACAATACGTAGACCCATGCATTTGAAGAGACAAGATAAAGCCCTGCTCCTGCAAGCTGTCCAAGCACAAAGCTAGTCCACCGAGTTCAGTGGCATCGGACTAGGCCTTGCAGAATCAGATCTAGAGAGATTGAAGCTGTGCTGTCTAGCTCGTGAGCTCAAAAAGCTTTAAAAATTAAGGTATGCCACAGAAACAATCTTCCAACTAGCACCTTTCCAGTGCAACGGTAGAAGTGCAAAGCTCATTCTCCAAAAGAATCAGTCAACATGAGTTTCAGTACAATTCAGTTGTTGTAGGCAGAGTGATTCGTCTGAGGATCGCTATCGGCTAAATTATCCAGAAGATCCCCGAATGTGCATACGGAGTACTCTTATCTCAAGAAGGACGAACAAGCTGCTGATCTTCTAGTGACCCAGAAGGCCGTCCAGCTCTTTAGCCCTTAATGAGCTTCTAGTGGATGGCCAGGCTGCTATCAGAGCCAGTACTATGCATAGTTCCTCGCCCTACAATGCTTGGAGCCAGATGCTTGCTCAGTCAGTGCAGTTGTGCATGTGTTACAGTTCCACTTTAACTCCTCGAATCAAAGGGAGACCTGATGGCACCTTCTTTTTGTACTCCAGATACTCTTCTCCAAAGAAGTGAATGAGCGTGATCTCCTCCTCCTCTATTCGCTCTCGGAAGAAGCGCCAGGATGCTAACGTGTAGCCAACCACACAGATGGGGTTGCAGAGTAATACCTGTAAAGAGGCACAAGCAGTTACAGTCTAATTGGACCTGCAACATTCCAGTCTCCCTGGCAAACTGGTGCTTCCCTCCACCCCCAATATGCGAATGAATTCTCCTTAACCGTCAACAATAAATTGCCAGAAGGTCTAAGAACTCTCCGAGAAAAACATAAAATCCCAACACCTTTTGCAGAATTTCATTCTATCATGAGATTAGTTCTTAGGCAGAAAGCAGTTTGCAAGCACGTATCTACTCCTCTCACCCCAACTGCAAAGAGCGGACTGGTATCTAAAAAGGACGTGTCAGGGCTTACATCTTTAGGCAGTTGTGCTGCTTTGCATGCAGTATTTACGGTACCTCTCAAAAAGAAAACAAACAAAAAAACAAAACCTAGAAAGGCCAACACCCACTCGACCACCAGAACAGCATAACTGAGGTAACGCACACAGAGTTATAACTTTACCGTAGTCGGCTTCAAGTTGACCCTGTGGTTGTCTGTCCAGGGTCTTAGGTACTCTTAAAGTTAGTGGTGTTTGCCAGCCCTGCACGATACTGACATCTGACAAGAATAAGGTCGAGTCCGATCGCTTACTGGAAGACATTTTGGCAGTAAAGATGAAAGGGAACTCTGGACACACCCTGGAAGCTTTAAGGTCCCATGGCTAGCAGCAGATCACACCTTGAACCTCTGAAAGTGTTCCAGCTCAAACCCAGGCTCCATTGCCTCTGCTTATGTCATAGAGAAAATTAAGGTGATATGGTCTTCCCAAACATCACAGAGGGTGGAGTTCAGAGGCCAGCAGTTTCATGACTCCCAGCTACAAGTGTGCTGGTGGAAGACAGAATGTGTCAAAATCCATAGCAGGGACCCCTGCAGTTGACAATTTGCGGTTTATATCACATACAGGTTTGGGGCAGCATAAAGAAATAACTAGATTATAAGATCAAAATATCTAAGCGTGTTGTATACGATACCTGTGTTCCAATACTCCAGTAAAACCATCCCACGTAAGACGGGTGCCGGAACCACCCATACACCCCACTTGTCACCAAAGTATGAGTATCCGATTTCTCATTCTGAACAATATGGTTGAAGTTGGAGCCAGCTGTGAGCATGGCAGCTTTCCTCAGACAATCCCCAAAGATCACCATCAATAACCCTACAGTACTGAGCCAGGTGATCTGCTTCATTTCTGCAAGTGAATAAGTACCGGTCACAACAGGTTTTAACAGATTACTCTTTCATTGCAGGTAAAAAGGAAGCTTAAGGTTAGAAGTTTGGGGTAGGGCAAGCATGGGCCTTCCACACTCTTTAACCTAAACTGATGGGCCTTCCAGAGCAGAACCCGAAAGCTATCAGGCACTAGCTCTACCAACACAAGGGTCTCGGGCGGAGGGCGGGTTCTTTGTTATCTTAAAACGAGGCAGCATATAAAACGCTTTGTGTTCAACGCATTATTGTTCTGCAACGAAAAAGCGTCATCTAACACTTACTCTTCACAATCTAAACTGACCAAGCAGCAGCTTCTTTTAGTCTTCCTACTCTAGAGGAAGCCAAGCGCCGAGGCAGAACCAAGTTTTACACTGCTTGAAAAAGTAAGGCTAGCCTGCTCAGCCCTCGTATAGAACGCTACCATCTGAACTTCCATTTGGTTAAAATAGCCCTCGATGTTGTGATGGGGAACGAGAATTTCTTCCCTCCCAGAAAACAGATTTGGAGAACTGCAATAGCTGTTATTTATTCATTTCAAAGCAAAGGAAAATCAAGTCCTAACGTGACTTAAACATTGTTATTTGTACCACAAACGTGGCTAAGAGACTCAACAGATCTCAACGGATGCTAAATAGTAAAGATTCACTGGCACGCTGGAGCGAGGCTGACACTAGTTTCGGGTGCATAAATTAATAAGGCTTTGAACACAGAAAGGTTAACAGGCAGCGTCAGACCCCTCCCTCCCTCAGACCACCCAGCACGGGTCAGGCGAGCACGGGTAACCAGCGCGTTTTGCCCACCGTTTGCTAACAGACAGGTTACTCTTAGCTAGGCCACGATCACCCATAGACTGATGCTCTAAGAGCTTAGCCAGAGAAAAGCAGAAAGGGATGGGAAGGGCTACTGACCGGGCCAAATGAACTTTTCCAGGGTGAACTCCACCCAGGAGGAGAGGGCGGCCAGGTTGTACTCGAAGCTGTGGTTGAGGAGGAAGGAGTCCAGCGAGAGGCTGCGCGGGTTGTTGATGGCTGTCACCAGGTACTCGGAGTAGTGGAAGAGGGACAGGGAGCACATGTACCTGCGGCGGGGCGGGGTGCGTCGGTCGCGCTTCTCCCTGGGGCCGGGACACCCCGGGGGAGGGCTTCCCCCTGCCCCGGGACAGGTAAACTCCCCCCCCTCACCCTGGAGGAGGG